CACGGCCTGATCCAGCGGCAGGTACTGGCCTTGCCTGGAGTCCAGGAAGTACAACCTGTCCTTCACCAGCGTGGGGTCGAAGCCCTGCTTCCGCAGCTCCATCTTCTGGAACTTGTAAGTGCCTGGAGCCAGGAGAGGAAGAGGAACAAGGGGTCACCAGCAGCACACGCTCCCATCCCCACCGCACCTGTGCTGCCCAGATCCAACCATGCACCCCCAGGCCTCCAAACCACCAGAGGAGCTGGCAAGGGGCTCCATCCTGACCCTACCACAGATCTGCCTCTATCAGCAGGATCCCCCCCAAGCTCTGCACCCAGGCTGAGGGCGCAGACCACAGCTCACTTGTCTTGGAGACCTCGTGCAGGAAGCGCAGGAAGACAGGCCGCGCATACAGCGGCAGGGCCCTCCTCAGCTCGCTGGCAAAGCCTGCCAGGTCGCAGGAGTTCTCTGGGTCAGCGATGGCTGCCATCCCTGCCTTCCCTTCAATCCCTAAGAGGCAGAGAAGAAGAGAGAGCACTCAGACACACTGTCCCTGTAGCATCCTCTCCCGCTGCCCCCCACCAGCAAGGCCTGTGGCACAGCCCCTGCTTTGTACCCGAGCACTGGCCATCCAGCTGTGTCACTGGCTGTGCCACCACCCTGCAGCTATGGCTGCCAGCGACACCCTGCGGCCACTGTCACCTCCTCCCAGAGGAGGCTCTTTGAGCCTGTCCAGAAAGGACACAGGGTCCTTTCAAACCAGCCAGAATCAGACCAGAGCTTGAGGGAGGGAGGAAGGGAACCCTCTGGTTCCTGCTAGGCACATTGCCCATGAGGAGCCTTGGTCCAGCAAAAGGACACATCAATTTGGACATGCAGGATGTTCACACTCATGTGCCCGAGGCCCACCTGCCTCCCCCCATCATCCTCTCCCCTGTCAGCTACCTGGGATCTCCACTCCATAAACCACCACGTCCGTCAGGTTGAGGATGCGGCTCAGCGTCCCTTCCACCTCTGTGGTGGAGACATTCTCCCCCTTCCAGCGGAACGTGTCCCCGGTGCGGTCCCGGAAGTACATGTACCCATATTTGTCCATCACCAGGACATCCCCTACAGGAAAGTGAGGAGCAGGCAAAAAATGAGGTGTCAGAGGAGCTAGGAACAACCTAGGAACATCTCACGGCACTGACAGTAGCCTGGGACAGCCCCCATGCCCACTCAGATCCCCTTCTCCTCTGGGTGGCTGGGAGGGACCTGCTTGCCTCACCTGTGAGATAGGCAGCATCCCCCTTTTTAAACACATCCCTGGCGATTTTCTTGTTGGTGGCTGACTGATTCAGGTAGCCATCAAAGTGCTGCAAGGGGTTGCTCTTGACAATGCGACCCACCAGCTGCCCCGGCTCCCCTGCAGGGAGAAAACAGGGGATGAAGAGGGGGAGCAACCACCTGCACCCAAGAAAAAAAAGGGTGTCTAATAGGGTTGATGGGGTTTAACTGAGCAGAGACCCCAACCAAGGGAAGTTATCTTGAAGTACTGGGAAAGACTCGCAGAGGGCTGAGGAGATTTATCCCTGTGGTTGCCCTCACCTGGTTTGCAATGGATACAAACACCATCCGGCCCCCGGATCAGCTCCATGGTGTCTTCATCCACCCTCACCAAGCCAATGGGGTACACATGTGGTAGGATCCTGCTGTTGAAGCCACACGACCCAACCTAGAACAGAAAGAGCTCAGAGCTGTGGGTAGTGGGGACATCTCTCCCACCCTGAGCCCACTGCCCATGCACATTCAAGATACAGAACATCCTGTGTGATGTTCTCTAGGTGATCCTGCTCTGGCAGGGGGGGGTTGGACTGGATGATGTTTCCAGGTCCCTTCTAACCCCTAAGATTCTGTGATACCAGGAAGCTGGCATCACACAACAGCTAAAACCCCTCTGGGCAGATGGCAACCCACGCCAGGCCCCTCAGAACAAGGAACCAGGAGCAAACAGCCCATCTGTTTCCAACCCTGCCCAGGCCAGCAGGCACCCCCTGGGACATGGGGAGGATGGTGAGGGCCTTACGTTGTTGTCAAAGTTCCCCAGGCTGCAGTTGCACTCGGTGGCCCCGTAGAACTCTGCCACCTGGGCGATGCCGAAGCGCGCCATGAACTCCCTCCAGATGGAGGCGCGCAGCCCGTTGCCCAGCGCCAGGCGCACCCGGTGCTGCCGCTCCGCCTCCTGGAATGGCTGGTTCAGTAGGTAGCGGCAGATCTCCCCGATGTACTGCACGATCTGGGAGGGACCCACAGGAAAAAAACTCACTTAGGACCCCCTCTGTCCAGTGTTTGGGGTTTCTTCACGGCAGGTAGGAACAGCACACCATGCCCAAAGTCCCTAAAGAGGCTGAGGTCAAAGCCAGGAGTCCTGCTAGCTTGTCCAGTGCCTTTCCTTCCCCAGTTAACCCAGTCCTCCAGACTGTGAACCCCATCCAAGACTTCCTGGCTAATGCTGGAGCACAGGAAGGGTTTGGACATCTGGAATTACCTTTCCAGGTGGGAAAGACACAGCCCCACCACCTCAGAAGGTGGTTTGGGATGAACAGGCAGAACCAGTCCTGGCTTCCCCTCTTCCAGTGGCTGGACTCTCCCCAGCATGGCACAAATCCCCAAGCCCTGCTCCCCAGAACCCCCCCACCCCCTGCCTCAGGGCCTCACCGTGCAGTTGTACTTCACACAGTCCTCCCAAAAGTGTGAGGCCGAGAACTTCTTGCGGATGACAACGGTCATGCCCTGCAGCAGGCACTGCCCGACCCCCACGATGTTCCCTGTGGAGAGGCAGCCAGGGAAGCCCTCAGCCCACAGACACCTCCAGCCCAGCCTGCTGTGGGAGAGGCCTGGCAGGGCAAGGTGGATGGCCCACAGCAGATGGGTGTTCAGCCAGTCATAGCCCCCAGGACCACAGGCACCAGGAGGAGACACGTGGCAGTGAGATCTGGGGCAGCACTTTGCATCCAGACATCCCAGCATGGCTCAGTCAGGCAGGCAGGCTTTTTTTCCCTTCCCCCCAACTTCCCACAGGAAACAGCAGTGAGGTGCAGCTATCCCAAAGCCAGTCTAGGATGCTGGGATAACGCCCCCCCC